AGTGAAAGTTTCAGGAGGAGAGATATATCCTCACCCCTGCGAAAAACTGAATAGCAAGAAGCAAATCTTGCAGTTTCCGGGAAGATAAGAAGAACACCGCAAGTTCATATTGGACAAGCAGCTGAAACTATACTGTCATGTTTCTACTTTTCAAAGTGAAAATAAACATGACAGGTGCTCATTTGCTGTTCAAGCACTTTCCACTTAAATGGCAATTCCTCAAGCTTACTGACTGCAGCCTGAAGTTATAATTTATTACCATTTCTGTGTTATTCCCTTTCCTCGGCAGAAAGCAGAACATAGCACCTACATTTCAAGACCCAGGAGAGGTAATAAAGTATAATTATTTTGAATTTATGATTAAGCCATAAATTATATGCACTTTTTATTTCAGTTGGTCAGTCAGAGGTTGGGGGAGGAAGGCAATGGGGTCAGAGGAAGGCGTAACAAAAGCCTTTTCCTTTGAATAAAATGTCTAAATCAGGGCAGGATTGAGGGACACCTGGAGGATTTACAAAGATACCAGTCTCCAAGTTAAGTCCCCAGGGAGCCCTGGTTAAGAGACTTTTAACTCCTAGAAGCCTCTGTTCTTCCTGCCCACAGGGCTACAGACTTCAACTAGAGTGCCCATGTTGACTCGAAAAATAGAAGCAGAGCACAGTTTCAGGTTATACCACATCAAACACTCACTGTGCTCTGGGTCTTGCTGCCTCTAAGCCATATGTATTTCATGGAAGGTGAAACTAATCTATACGAAACTACTGACCAGACTGTCTAAGTAGTCAGCCTTACCCCAAATAACTCTTCTTATTAATAACCACAGAACTCTGATTCAACAGTGGCCAGAAGTTAGCGTTTCCTACCACCAAGAGGCAATTGGTGAGATTTCCCTTTCTTGTAGTCCCTTATGTGGCTATGGAACCCTAAGTATGGGGCAATGAGGTGCAAAGCTGACAAAGCTCAGGGCATGAAGCAAGAGAAGAACATGGCATTCAGCACTCTTCTGTCACCTACTGGCCTCATTGGTTCCCCAATACGCCATGGCCCAGGTCCCAATCTTTGTCATGAGTTCCCATGTTCAAATGTAGCTTGCAAAGCAGGGTCCCACATACATTTTTATTTGGATTCACAAAAGAACTCTGGGAAGGAAGTCTCACGAAGCACTCAGTTTACAGTAGAGGCAGAAACTCAGAGATGCTAATAATCCAGTACCAATACACAGCACAGTGCATCTGGAACCGTCACCTGACAGATAATTCTATAGCCTTTTCATTATTCTACTCTAAAGAGTTGGGGAAGTAAAGCAAAACCAAAACAGAAGTGCTCTGCATTGCTTTTTTTTTTTTTTTTCTGTTTTCACAGTGGATTTTTTTCTTGGCAACTGAAGCTTTGAAATAGCTGTTTGTCATAGTAACAACAGGTAGATATTAAAACATAAATGGAAGTGAAATTTAGCTGGGTTTAAATAAATAAAAATAAAAAGAATAGAGAGAAAAGTCCTGAGGAGTGACTTGCAAAAAAAAAAAAGAAAGAAATTATACATAAAGGGGGACCAAAGGGGGTTTGCCCCAAATGTTTACCTACCACTCACCTTTGTCCCGGAACATCCCACCTTCACACCCAGCTCCTGGTTAATGAACTTAATTTGGTTGATGTCCCTTGAACTGTATAATCTGTTCCACAAAAAACAAACTCAGTTTGTCTCCAACCTACTTTTAAGTCCCTGACTCCCTGGTTACATGCAGTCTATGGAAAACATCTGTGGCAAAGTAAATCATCCTACCCTGAGAAAGACCAGAATGTGCCTTTTTTTTTTTTTCTTTAAGTGTGTTTTGAAGTCCTGGTTGGAAAATTAGTGAAAATTGTAAATCTGTTTGCAAATCTGGTCATGTCCAACTCTGAGATTAGGGCAAAGATTCCAATTTAAAAGTAAAACCGTGACAACCCCAGCTAAGCGTGTCCTCAGGCACTGCCAGCAGGGCCTTCACTCACTTCCACGGGCAGTGGATTTATTACAGGCACCCGACACGTTCCCCATCAGACACCCCTGGAGTATTTACTTGAGACAGCAGGGTTCAGTCTGCACTTCCTCTGCAGACCAATATATTATTATAAATTGAGCTAAACTGTTTCCTTTTCATAAGTGCTATGAAGTTCAGATTTCAGATATCAGCACAGGGCTGAGGGACTTCTTGCTATTTGGATTTCAAAAAGCAAAGAGAAAAGGCAGTGTTTGGACTACAGTTGCTTTTATTTTTGTTTCTTATTTTTTTTTAGCAGAACATGGAGGAAAATTAATTTTAGAAGACAAACATGACGTCTTAATAAGAAAATACATTCTAAATGCAGACATTGGAGTACACTGTGCCTGCCACAGCTCAGGAAGAAACCAACTATTTCACCTGCATCTGAAGGCAAGAGCTGGGAAAGCTGGAGTAGATTTTATATCTTGTATATCACCTCCTATAAACTAACACTAATTTCTTCTGTTTATCACCTAAAGAGACCCAATATATAAAAATGTATATTTCTTAGAACATGCAAATTTTAAAAAATGCAATTATTTAATATTTTCATTATTAATGCAGTTCTTAAACTCTAAGAAAAATATAACTTTAAGAAGAAATGGAAAGAAAGAAACCTACAGAACATCATCATCTTCTCTTCCCTTCCTGAAAAGCCACTAGGTGAGGCAGAGGCATGGTGCTGAGGTGGGTAGAAGGGAGCCAGGGAGCAGGGGTCAGTCCTTGAGTGGGGTGAGAAGGGCATCCATGTGGTGGGAGGATGGTGGCCTGATGTGAAGTGTCAGACCCCAAGTGGGACAAAATGACAAGTTCCAGCATTCGATTTCTTCTTTTGCAATAACAGCTAATAGTTGCTTCTGAACTCCCCAGTGAATGCGGCTGTTATTCATATTACCACTACAATTACAGATGTGCACATGTACTAAAAAAAGACTAAAAAGGAGTATACTAAATCACACATGAAAATTTTGACATTCTTCTTTCATTTTAAATAGTTAAGTGTTTCCTCTCACTGCTTCTTTTTTAATCAGAGGGGTACATGTAAGATGTTAGTAAACATAAAAGCTAAACTTTTACAAGATACTTATTTTTATACAAAGAAACAATTAATGAAGCTATTTTAAAAGGAATCATTATGGTTCTAATCTCCTTAGAGATGCAAATTACTAACATAAACTACTGAACAAAGGGAAATAATATATTTACTTTAACATCCATAAAGAGTCAAGCCAAATATCCAAATTTGTGTAGTACATTAAAAAAAAATGAAACAATAATCTATTTACATTTGGCCATGGGACAGAAACTTCAGAAGAGAAACTTAGTTCCTGAGGACAGACAGGAGAGGAGGAGGAAAAGAGATGACCTTAACATTAAAAATTTTCCAGACCAAGATTTCAGTGTATTGAGTCAGTCAAAATGGTCCCATTTAGAGTACAAAGAGCACTGCAAATGGATGCAGCCTGCAACCATCCTAGTCCCTCTTCTGCTTCTTACTAATGGAGTGACCTTGGGCAAATTACTTAAGAACTGCCACCTTCCTCGGGATGACTGGAGACTGAGATTGCTTTTAAAAACTGATCTGTAAACTGCAATGTAACATGAAAATGGAAAAGCAGAGATTAAAACCAGTGTTCAACCAAAGTAGGAATCACCACCTCGTGAGAAGAATTTAAGAGGTAAAGGGATACAGCATTAAGTACCATTAACTCATGCTGTGTGAAAGAATCTCTACATAATCACCTTCCAATCCTCCTACAGACATTCAGGAAAAAGTCCTAGACTGGTACCAGTACATAATTAACACTTCTCTAACAGTTACTAAACTCCCTTATTAACAAAGACAGAACAGGACTCAGACTTGAGATCTCCAGCAAAGAAAAGCAGCAGGCACTTAATACTGCTTTAGGTTCTCTATTTTTATATTTATGAAATCCTTCTAGTTATGCCAAGTGATATGTGCTTTCCATTTAAAACAGTGATATAAAATTTCCTTCTAAAATCAATTTATTTGGGTGAAAGAAAAAATAGCTTATTTAGAGAGAAATAATGCATTAAAAGAAAAAGTACAAGTAGCAGGTGGATATGGCAAGAACCTGGAAGTTGATGTACAAGGAACTGAAATTTGGAAAATGGTAAAGAGATATTCCAAACCCTGAAAGCAAGGATCAAGATTTATGTATCTCCAATATCTCTCCACAACCTTACCCAGTAGCCAATACCCAACTAACTGGGAGTTGATTCTTATCATAAACACTGGGCTTGAGCCCTGGTTCTTCCTACCTCCAAAGTCAATGTATCAGTAAATTTCTCCAGGCAGAGAGGAGTGAGATAAACTTTGAATAATAAGAAGCTAGAATCAAGGAGAGAATAAAACCCTGAGAAGCTTTGTGAGTAAAAATGGATATCTGCACACTGAGCACTGGAACATAGAGACCCACCAAAAAAAAAGAGCATCCCAAAAATGTCAAGTAAAGCAGCAAAAAACAAAACCCATCGAACCCCATAGGTTCACTTAGCCTAACCCACAGCTGAAATATTATTTGCCAAAGAACTAAATGACAAGTGGAAAGAAAGACCCTGTAGTCCCACTAGATATCCCTGAGAAGAAATTAACTACAACACTAGAAAAAATCTTCTCAGTCCTAAAATCTCAGACAGGGGACTGTTTTTAAAAGTCATAGAAATAAGTTGATTTGGATGACTTACCACCTCTGATGAAGAATCCTGAAAACTGTTTAGCACATTTGAAAACTACAAATATGCTAAACAGTTGAAGTAAAAAGAAGAGCAACTTTTCAAAACTGAGCAGTACTGTTAAAAAAACACACTTGATATATGTTCTCATAGGAAAGTTTCATTATTAATTCAAAATACTAACATTAAAAATTTTACTTCAAAAGACACATTCTAAATATACACCTAATAATCTACACTTAGACTAGAGTGTAAATATAAGTTTGAGTCTAAGATTACCAAGCATAAAATAGCAGTCTCCTTGGTGAAGGGGAATTGCCAAACCAGGTGTCTCTATGTCCCACGAGATCTTAAAACCAACATGCCAAGTATCAGGATCTCTGCCTTCGAAATTAGAATCATCATCACTCTCATCTTCAGAACCTGTTAAAAAGAGGAGAAAATGATCAGGAAAATATATATATATGTTTAATCTAAACTTCTGAGCTTTACAATCATTATCTTAAAATAATTAAATTTTTATAGAATATGGTTATTAATGAAGTACATACATTTTGTTCATATTTTTAAAGAAACATTCTACAATATTTTCAGCATGACATTTGTTTTTCATCAAAAAACTTTAAATAAAATAATGAGGAAATAACCACTGATATTCAGGGAGACAAACTGTTATTTGTTTAATTTAAAGCAAGTAAGTTAGTAAATCTGATAAAGGGATATTTTTTTAGGAATATTTTAATTACCAAAATTAATTCCAGAAAAAGCAGAAGAGCTAAACAAACCATAGAAGGTAGTGGCAAGTGTCAAAGAACTCTCTCTCAGGGAAACACAGGCCAAGACAGTTTCAAAGAATTCACTGCTAAACAATTAAGGAATGGGTAATTTCAATGGCATTTAAATTGTTTAAGAGCACAGGAAAATGAAAGCTTCCAAATTCATTTTGTGGAAATAAAATAATATGTATCAAAACTCATAAGGAAAACACACACCTACCAAAACTGATCTTACACCCGAAAATCAACGTAAAATTTCCAAATATTAGAAAATAGCATCCAAAGCTAGCAACATATTAAAAGAATAAAATCCCAATACTAAGTAAAACTTACTTTGGGAATAGAATGATAGCTAAATAGCTAAAAACTTAGACTTAAAATTCATCATATTCATAGATGGAAACGAAACAAAACAAATTATGAGTTATCACTCCGGTAACAAAAATAATTGATAAAATACAATAGCCTTTCATGATGAAAATCTCAATAAAATAAGAATAGATGGATATTTTTTGACCATGATAAAATATAGCTCTGTCTCAATCCCAAAGCCAGCACAATACTGTAATAGAGAAACATCAGGAACATTGCCAAAGTACAGAACTAGACCCATCATTATTCTAAAGGAATGGCCAACATGATGGTACCTTCTGAAACTGCCTAACAGAGCAGCCCTATTTAGACAAAATAAGAGATATATGCTGGCAGGGCATGGTGGTTCATGCCTATAATCCCAATGGCTTGGGAGGATGAGGCAGGAATATTACAAGTTCAAGGCCAGACTCAGGAATTTAGTAAGAACCTGCCTCAAATTCAAAAACAAAAAGGGCTGGTAATATAGTTCAGTGGTCAAGCATTCCTGGATTAAATCCCCAGTACCAAAATAAAATAAAATATGCTAGGTACAAAGTCAAATCACATAATTAGTAACTTCAAAAATATAAACAAACACCTCACTTATAAAAAACATCTATAGAAATATCGAGTAAGATTCTTATGTTAATGTTACTAAAGAGCAAAAAAGAAGATTTAAACAGATGTAAAGATACACTATATTCTAGGAAAATAAGGCAGAACATTGTGAAAAAGTCAGTTCTCCCTAAATATCTACCTGTTTGTTTGTTTGTTTGTTTGCCAGAGATGGAACCCAGGGCTTCTTGCATACTAAGTTTGCATACTACCACTAAGCCACAACTCCACACCTTTTTGTTTTGTTTTGTTTTTTTAATTTTGAGGGAAGGTCTCACCAAATTGCCCCACCTAACCTCAAACGTGTGATCTTCCTGCCTCAGCCTCTCAAGTAGCTGGGATTATAGATATGGGACACCACACTGGCTTAAATCTATCTTCATATTAGACTTAATCAAAAGAAAGATCAACAAGATAGTGTTTTAGGTGAGTGGGGTTAGTAACTAGACAAGATGGTTCTATAATACAGTAGTCCCTTCTCTTCCACAGGAGATATACTTCAATGCTCCAGTGTTTACCTAAAACCATGGGTAGTACTAAATCCTGTATATACTGTTTTTTTTCTATATATACATGTCTATGATAAAATATAATTTATAAATTAGTCATAGTAGGAAATTGAAATAATATAATATAATAAAATGTATATGAATGTGCTCTCTTTATATCCCAAAATATCTAATCATATTTTCACCTTTTCACTAAGGAAGCACTTGATGCTTTTTTTTTGACATGTCCAAATTGTCAGTATCACTATTCTTGTGTGTTGGGGTCATTAGTAAGTAAAACAAGTGTCACTTGAATAGAAACACTTCACTATAGGGAAGCTGATGTGACAACAGAGCCAGTAAGTGACTAATGAGCAGGTGTCGTACACAGCTGGACACAGGGACCACTTGCATCCTGGGTTGGACAGAGTGCACAGCATGAGACTGCTTCATGCTATTCAGAGAAAGGGGATGCAAATTGTGAATTATTTCTGGAATCTTCCTTCAGTAGTTTCAGACAACAGTTCACTATAGGTAACTAAAACCACAGAAACTGAACTGCAAGTAAGGAGGGACTACTGTATACATGGAAATATAAACAAGTGAAAATAGCCAACGGATGTTTGTCTTAATATATAGAATTCCTACACATTGACAGGATTAGGTTCAGCAGGAAAATGGACAAATGTTATGAAGACAGAAATTATAAGGGAATCAAAACTAGAGGCTGAAGGTGTAGTTCAGTGGTGCAGCATTTGCCTAGCACATGCAAGACCCCTGGGTTGAACCTAAGCACCACCCCCCCCATAGACATACAAGAAAATAAAACAAGCTCATAATACATTTAAAAAGATGTTTCAATTCATTCATATAAAAGAAATGCAAATTAATCCACAAGAGCTATTTTTTACCTATCAAATCAAAAAAGACTTTGTGCCTTTGTTGTTTTTTTTCACACTTTAAAAAATACAGTTAGTAAGAGTGTAGCAAAATGGCACACTCACATTCTGTAGAGGTCAATTTTACAATTCATATGAAAATTACAAAAAAGCACAAAAGCCTTTGTCCCTTATAAAATTCCACTTTTGGGCTAGGGCCATAGCTCAGTGGCAGAGCGCTTGCCTAGCATGCGTGAGGAACTGGGTTTGATCCACAGCACCACATTAAAAAATAAACAAATAAAATAAAGGCATTCCATTCATCTACAACTACCAAAAATTTTTTTAAAAATAATTTCACTTTAAAAAATACACACTAAAATTCCTACTTTCAGAGGTTGTTAAATAATAAATAGTGCTTGCATATTATTTATTATAGCACTGTTTATTTATTGTACTAGTTTATAAGAACAAAAGATGAGAAACAGTTTAAATGTCCATCAAAGGTTTCTGGTTAAATAAATTATGCTATGTCGAGACAATGAAATATTATGTAGCCACTAATAATAGTATGACTAAATGTTGATATGGAATTAATATATTTTTAAGAAAAAAAACTAAATGACTATAATTTGTATAAAAAACACAGTGCATATATTTCTGGAAGGATACTCAGGAATGATTTTTCTGGGAAACAAGAGCAGAAGACACACATTGAAGAGGTAGAAGGTGAACATTACAATTGTCTATACTCAGTCTTGCAGGAATGGCCCAACCTAAAAACTTTTTTAAGTCCATCAAAAAAGTTGAGCACTTGCTAGATACTAAGCACTGTTCCAAGAACTTGGGACATAGATGACTGAAATAAAGAGCTATGTCCCCATGAAGCCCTCCTTCTACTGGAACTATAAATAAGGGTCAGTGATTACTATTAAGGGGACATTTAAAATTTAAATTCCATCAGACTTGAAACTGCTCTACTAGACTTTGGTCTTCAAGAGAAAGGTCTCTGCTTCTATTTCATCGAAATTTAGAGCCCTAGTGATTGGCACATCGAAGGCATTCAATGAACACTGGTACTAACTGCTTGCTTTAAACAAAATGTTCTTTCAATTCCACCATTCACAGTCCTTACTAAGTTAAGACCGCAGATATGAAAATACTTCAAACTAAAGAACAAAATAAAGCACAACACTGCTGTTAAACTAGTACAAGCCTCAACTCTAAAGTGGTTTAGAGGGAGGTTCAACAAGGGTTAGAATGCTTAGAGCAGAATTCAAAGAGAAGGTGAATCCTGAAAGACAAGAGTGTTTAGATTGGCAGAGGGTATTGTAATAAGTAATGAGAGAAGACAAGATGATGCTAAGTTTTGTGCAGTTAAAATGAATAATAAAGCATGTTTTATTTAGGCTAAGTCATGTACACGTCACATATAAACACCACATAAACAATCCAAAAGTACATGCACCCCAATAGACAGACTCCCTAGATTCTGAACATATTACTCTAGAGTAATGTTTATAAGGGCCAAAAGCACTAAAGGAAAGTAGGGGGAAAGTGGAATTCCCCTTTATGACTATTCATTCACATTACTTTGAGCTAAAGCATGATGAAAAAGTACAGACCAGAAAATCCAAGTTTCATGGGTCCCTGCAAGAGAGGAATGCTGCTGAATGACTTTTAAGGACACATCCTACTGTGGGTATTCTTCAGTTTGAATCTAAAATCTAATGCTGCCATATTAATAGAATCGCATCCTTTTTCATATTTGTTCTTCTTTCTAAGACATTTTTTTTCCTCAAGAACTTTAGTATCTTTTAATTAGATACTTTCTTTAAAAATATCGTCATATAATAAAAAGGTCCAAAGCCATCTCCTATGTTAACTCCAAAAATATTTTTAAAAGAATCCTCTGGGGGCTGGGGTTGTAGCTCAGTGGAATAGCAATGGCCTAGCATGTGTGAGGCACTGGGTTCAATTCTCAGCACCACATATAAATAAATAAAATAAAAGTTCACTGACAACTAAATATATATATATATATATATATATAATTTTTTTTTTTTTTTTTTTTTTTTTTTTTTTTTAAAGAGGGCTGAGTTGTGACTCAGTGGTAGAGCACTTACCTAACATGTTCGAGGCCCTAGGTTCAATATTCAGCACCACATAAAAATAAATAAATTAAATAAAGGTATTGTGTCCAACTACAACTAAAAAATAAATATTAAAAAAAAAGGATCCTCTGGATTAGAGATGACAAACACCTTACACATTAGGGGACATAGTTGATTTGTTGGTTGTAAGTTTTTTGA